TATTTTTCTTTTAAAATATGTTTTCATTGATTTTTGAGAGAGAGAGGGAGGGAGAGAGAGAAACACTGATTGGCTGCCTCCTGCATGGCCCCCATTGGGGATGGAGCTTGCAACCCAGGCATGTGCCCTGACCTGGAATGGGACCGTGACCTCCTGGTTCATAGGTGGACGCCCAACCACTAAGCTACTCCAGCTAAGCTCATCTTTATTTTTAAACTTGGGTCATTTATTAACATCTGTGAACTCACATGCTGGGTAGAGCTAGCTATGCTTTGTTCCTTAAGACACATTCAAATAAATACATAACTATTTAAAAAATTTAAAACTTTGTCCATGTATTAATGTACAAATGGGTGTGCATATAGGTGCCCTATAACTATGAGTGCCCTACTGGGTACTCATTTTTTTTTAAAAATAAATATTTTATTGACTTTTTAAAGAGAGGAAGGGAGAGGGACAGAGAGTCAGAAATATCAATGAGAGAGAAACATCGATCAGCTGCCTCCCACACACTCCCCACTGGGGATGTGCCCACAACCAAGGTACATGCCCTTGACTGGAATCGAACCTGGGACCCTTGAGTCTGCAGGCTGATGTTCTATCCACTGAGCCAAACCAGTTAGGACTCTACTGAGTACAGTGGGGCCTCATAAGTGACCCAACTAACAAGTTTTTTGAGATACCAGCTGTCTCTTGGCCAATTTTTTGCATTGAGTTGATAGAGTAATTTGAGTTAACGAGCTCCTTAACGAGCTTGGTCTCAGAATGAATTAAACTCGTAAGTCAAGGCCCCACTGTACTTATTGTGTGCCAGGACGTTTTCATGGGTAAACTCGTTTAATCCTTCATACAACGCCAGGAGGCAGCTGCTTACCATTACCCCATTTTACAGATGAAGAGACTGAGGCACAAGGAAGAGAAATGATGATCCCAAGGTCATGTGGCCTGTGTACTAACCACTATTCCACACTGCCCAATGAGCATGCCCATTCCCTGAAAGAGGAAAAAGCTAAATCAGAGAAATGATTGGTAGGCTGAGGACTGAATCTGGACCCCCACCCTCACCATGTATTTCATTCAATTTAAACTTAAAAAAAAAAAAAGCCCTGGCAGGGTAGCTCATTTGTTAGGGCCCCAAGGTTGTGGGCTTGATCCCCGGTCAGGGAGCGCACAAGAAGCAACCAATGAATGCATAAAAGAAGTGGAACAACAAATTGATGTTTTTTTTTTCTTTCTCCCTTCTCTATTTCTCAAATCAATAAACAACTAACAAAAATTTTAAGCAGCTTTTGGTTTCAATAAAACCTTATTTACAAAAAGGAGGCTGGATTTGGCCCACAGACCAAAACTTGCAGACTCCTGCCATAGATCAAGGATTCTCCATTTTCACTCTCTTCTACGCACTCAAAGCCCGTTTCTCTCTAGCACCGCTTCAGCTGCTGCAGTCCACACGTTTCACGTGTTGTGTCTTATCTCAGTTCAAGATATTTTCTAGTTTTCTTTGTGTTTTCTTCTTTGACTGAAGCTGGGCCACAGGTGCCCACCCACCTGTGTTACCTTCCTGTCCCAAATGACATCTGAGTTTGAGGTCCTCCAGAAGTCAACGCTAAGCCACTTCCGCAACTCACAGGCCTACCTTCCCTGGCCTGAGAGCCTCTTACTCGTCACCAGATACTGAGTGCCCACCAGGCACCAAGCGCTATCCTGTGGTGAACAACTCTGCTCCGTTTCTCTCCAGCCCATTAAACAGCTCTGCCATCCACCCACCTACTGGCTCTGGCTCAAAACCTAATCCATTTGGACTCCTCTCAATCCCTAGTCTCCAGCCTAGATCAACAGCTCTTGCCAGCCAACTTCAGAGTAGATCTGACATCTGTCCACGCATGGCATGACTTGGTCCAGCCCTCTTCTCCCCCCACCCCCGTGCTCGCTGGGACACCTGCATAGCTCACCCCTCCACCCCCCGCCCCCGGTCTCTAGATCCACCCCAAACGTTCCCCCAGCCTCACCCACAGGGATCTCAAAATTGAAATCAGGACATGCCTCTCCTTGGCTTGAAACTGCCAGGGCTGCCTGTCTCCCTCAGGATAACACCCAAACAGCTCCCTGGGGCCTGAAGGCCCTGCCCCATCTGCCCGCAGCCCCCAGCTCCTCCTGCTCCCCTCACTCACTCTGATCTGGCCGCACAGGCCTCCTTGCTCTTCTTAGAATGAACCACGTGAGTTCATTTATTCATTCAACAAATATTTAAAGAGCTGCTCTGTGTCAGGCCTTCTCTTGGGCCTGGGAACACTGCAGGGGTGAGCTTGTGTAGTGGACACTCTAGGGGAGGGACATGATGAGCAAAGGAAGAGTGTAAAGAAAAGGATGGTTACAGGAGTTAAGGTTCTAAGGGTTGAGAAGGAAACACACGAGGGGGATGTGGTGGAAGGTGGCTGGGGCTGTGCCTTGGACAATCTGGGAGGGCTTCGCCAAGGAGGTGACATTTTATCAAGATCATTGCTCGATGGGCTGTAGTGGAGGACATTAGGGCACAAGGCAGGGGGAGAGGGTTGACCTGGGGGATCTCAGATGTCTTGTTCAAAACCTAAGTTCAAAGTCTCTTCTGTGACCTACAAGAGCCACAGGTGCTGGGCCGGGGAGGGAACGTTCCCTCCCCTCCCCCGGCCCTGCAAGAGGGGTGTTGCCACTTGAACTTGGGCTGGGAATTGCCTAACACATGTTGTGACAACCACTGGCTGGAACCACCCTCTGTCCAGCCCTCAGAATCTCCCCCAGGAATCCACACCCCCACCCGTCCTTTCTCCGGGCACATGTAGTGCCCTGCTGTGCCAGCGGTCCCAGGGGCTGGTCATCTCTCCTTTCCAGCCTGTGATGTGATTGGGGCTGTGCTATCTTTAACTCCGGGCCAGGACAATCCGATCCCCTCCCCGGCCCTCCCCTCTGGTAAACACTGCTCAGATGACAGTGCTGGAATCCCATGGGGGTGGCGGGTTCTGTGCATGGCCAAGCCATCAGGGGCTGCTCCCTGTGTCCCCTGCTGCTGTCTCAAGTCGTCCAAGGACTGGAATTTCGGGAGTTGACAGGCATTCATCCATTTACTCACTCAACACATGGGTGCTAAGGGCATGGCAGTGACTCAGACAGACCCTCACAGGGATCTGGAAGGTCTGGGAAAGGCATTATTAAGCAAGTAAATGAGCAAATGAGCAGAATTTCCGTTCTGTGGAGGCAGGAAGTAAGGTGGGAAGTGACAGTGAGTGGGGTAGCGGCTCCCACTGGTGAGGTGGGCTGCATGCTCCCTGGCTGAGTGAACTTGAGCAAATCCCTACCCCTCACTGAGCCTCAATTTGCTCAACTATCAGTGAAGTGGGTCATTATCCTGGCTGTGTGGCCTTGGGCAGGCCGCTTGGCCTCTCTGAACTTGTTTCTTCACTGATAAATTACAGGTAATAATTTTATCATGCGCTTTCTTGTTTTGTTTTTTTGCCTTCCTCCATCGAATCGGTTCCATTTTATAGAACCCCAATGTCACTTGGACAGATGTTTTGGGGAGGTGGGCTCCTCCCCCATCCCCCATTTCTGGGCTACTGATTGTCCCAATCCGAGTGAACGTGAACGTTAGGCCTTTGGCTGGCAGAAAGATGCCTTCCATTCTGCTGGCTGCCGTATCAGGACACCGGAGGAACCAGGTCATTCCCATTCTGAGCTGCTGAAACAACCCTCACCTGACCCTGGGAAGGCTTTACTGGGAAGTCTGTAAGGAAAGCATTTGGCATGAATCCGTGTTCCTTTTTGGTGAGCCTCCTAACACCCTGTATCACCTCAAAATAGAAGTAACGATACCTACTTGAGGCCCGTAGAATGGTGCCAGCATACAGTCGGGGCTCAATAAATGCTTCTGCAGTTATGTGTCTCCCAGGACATGGCTCTGAGAGCATCTGCGGATTTGAAATCCACTCCTTTAAGGCAAGGATATATTCATGTTGTACCTGCGTGGGTATTAGCTATTGAGGGTTGTTGGACACCCAGTGAAATCAGGAGGGAGAGCCCTCCAGCCCAATGAACTACTGGAGGCAAAATGTCACCAGGGCCTGGCAGGGTCTTTCCTACGGCCACAGGAGGCAAGGACATGGAGACCATCCACCTCAGAAATAACAGCTTGAGCCTTAGCCCTACGGGAACTGGCAAACAGTGGGTGCTCGGGAAAAACCCCACCGGGCAGTGCTTTGGGTAGGAGTTTGTGCTAATGCGGAGAAAACCAGAATTTCACAACTGAGATGCAGTAAAAAAAAAAAAGAGAGGGGAGGCCTGGATTTTCCTAAGCTGGAAGCAGCTCTAGGAAACCCACCAAGTTCATGAACAGACCCCTTGGGCCACAGCATTCCACCGGCTCCATCTGTGGTCTCACCGAGTTGGCAGGCTTTCTGGTTTTCTCAGCCATTCCTCGCCCTGCAGAGGGTCAAGCTCACCCTCTTTTCCATGCGAAGTGAGGGGTGTGGACGAAGGCAGGGGGTTTTCACCTTTTCTTTCTCCGCAGTGAAACTCCATTTCTGAATGAAATCTCACACGGAGCCCCAGCACATACGGAAAAACTCCTGCATGGGGGCCTGGAACAGACTGACATACTCTGATGTGGGGGTGGGGGGACGAGAAGAGACAAACCAAAGAACTTATATACTTATATGCAGAGCCCATGGACACGCAGGCAATAGGGTGGTGAAGACCTGGGGGGCTGAGTAGGGGCTGGGAGGGTGGGAGGAGAGGGGTAAAGGGGGGTAAAATGGGAAATATCATCAACAATAAAATATATATTTAAAAAACTCGTTAGAGATGGCAGCCCGAGGGCACTCCTTTAAGTGGCCTGGCACCATGGCCTTTTACTCTCAGCGGCACCCTGTTCCTCCCGTCTCCCCCACCTACCCCGGCAAGGAACTGCTGGGTGGTTTTCTTCTAACGTTGTCTTTTTAATGACAAACACCAGCGTCAGGACTCACAAGTTAATGGCCTCATTTCTTTATTCTGTGCTGTTTCCACCTCCACGGAAGGTAAAACCTGGTCTTGTAAATAAATAGCATCCTAAGTAACACTGCACATCCACACGAGGCCTAGTGTTCTGAGGGCAGAGCATCCATGGACCTGCTGTGGTGTCTGGGGCCTCCGTGCAGCTGCCATTTGACAAGGCTGCAGGAGAGGGTGGGGTAAGGATGCTGCTGTCCTGAATGTGACCTGAGCTTCTGTCCCCTTCGCTATGCACGCTTGTCCAAATAGGCCAGGGAGAGTCCCCTTCTGCCGACAGGGCATAAGCAGTGCTACCCAAGAACCACCTCCCTGCAGCAGTTCCCTAACACAGGCACTTCATACCCTGAGTGATGGGAAGCCACGATTTTGTGTCACCTCAGCTCTCAGCATTCACTGTCTCATCCAGCTGATTTGTGGAGTTAATGCTGCACTTAGCATTTCCTTAGGGAGACCTGAGCAGTGGTCAGAGTAGCTGGCGCCACTTAGGGTGGCTATACCCACAATACTGTGCACTTGTATGTGATCTGTGGGGCTGACGTGGCCTTCAGTTCTAACTCAGAATCTGTGAAAACCAAGCCCCAAACCACCTTGCAAGTTCTCACTCAGCGGGAAACACATCAAGCTCAGCTCCTTGGGCGTTTGGCCTGAACCTCTTTAGAAAAAACACTTCTCTAATGAGGTTGGAAATACGAGAGGCCCAAGTAAAAGGCAAATGAGTGAAGTTTCAAGAAACGTACAGCCGCCTGCATTTTAGGAACCGATACCATGGTCTTCTACCTCCTTCACCAAATTCTTCACACAATAAAGCTTGCTCCTGAGGGCCTTGGCCACCTCAGGCGTGACCAAACCCTTGGTGCACAAAATCAACCTATCAAGTCTTAAGAGAGAAAATTTCAAATTCTTAAGAAAAACAAATATGGCAGCAAAACCTCAGAACTCCTGTGATGCCTGTAGCCTGCCCACCTACTAACTAAACAGAACACCAAACCAGCCCAAGCTGTGCAAGCAGCAGGCTACCCTAAGCAGAGTCCTGCCTGTGTGGGACAGCGATGGCAACGTAGGAGGGAGGGAGGTGCAACCGTGCTGCAAGAAGTGAGAAGTGGTCTTGCTTCTTGAGTCTCCAACTTTCCACTCTGGGAGCCCCATTCCTAACACTGCATTTTGTGGCTGGGTTTATCTAGCCACATAAGGGGCAAAGAAGGACAGACCCAATTTTCAGTTTCTTCTTGTTTCTAGTACAGGAAAACAATGGCTTCGATCCCTCTGCCTCTCAGAAAGCAACATCTTCCTAGACCCAGGCAGATGGGATGTGTGGAAAGTAGTGCATGTCCTCCTGGAGAAAGACAGTTCTCTGAGCACATGACCCTGAAGGCTTCTAGCACCAATAGCTAACTTCTTTCCCCGCTTTGTGCAAGGTGAAAGGCCATGGAGTTGGGAGAGCCCTTCTTCCTGCTTCATGCTCACCGAGAGATGGCAAGGACTGGTGTGGGCACCTCTCCGGGTTTCTCCCCTCTCAGAATCCTATCAGTGCAGTTCAATGAAAGCCTCCAGCTCCTCAGGGATGAAGCCTTTGTAGGGGATTTTATTCTTGTCCAGGGTGCGGGCTGCAAGGCACTGCAGGGTTACGTAGTTGAAGGGCTGGATGGTGCTCTTAGCCAGCAGCTTCTCATCCAGCAGTTCGTAGGCTGTTTTCTTGAAGGCGTTGGTGGCATCCATGTGGGCCCCCGCTTCAATCAGGGCATTCATAATCCCCGGACAATTGTTCTGGGCAGCTATGTGCAACGGGGTGTTGTTGTCAAAGTCCCGACTGTCTGGGTCGGCCCCACAGTCAAGCAGTACCTTGACCACCTGGAGGGAGGGGAATCTGCCCACTGGGTACCGGCCCACGTTTGTGGTGTCCTTGTCCACGGCCATGTGCAAAGGGGTGAAGCCATTCTTGCCCCGGGGGGCACACTTCAGCAGCCGGTAGACGGTCTGATGCTTCAGATGCTCCTGGTCGGGCGTGCATTCCACTTTCTCCAACAGATAGAGCAGGTGGAGGATGATGGCCAGGGCCTTGGTGAACTGGACAGAGTCCCCAGGCTCCTTGGGCAGCTGCAGGGCCCGTTCCACTTCCCGGACCCCTTTGCAGAGCACCCCCATGAGATCAGCAAAGCCAATTTGCGTGCCCAGGCTGCCCTTGGCTGCCCGGTCCTGAAGTACGTAAGAGAAGAGTTCAGCAAATGAAAGGAAGCTGCTGGCGGTCATGGGGCTCAGAGGCTCCAGGTTGTTCTGCTGCATGTCTAGGGCGTATTTCCACAAGCGGATGCAGCGCTCAAAATTGCCGGAGTCGGCATACACGGCTCCCCTGTAACGGATATAATAAGAAGTGTCTGGGTGAGAGGGACCCAGGATGCGCTCTCGGATCAACAGGGCCTGCATGCGCATCTCGTCTGGGTCGGTGATAAGTGCTTCCAATTCCTCGGCGGTGTTCACCTCCCTGGAATAATCATAGGCCAGGACCAGCTGCGGGGGCTCCGGTTTGGGCAGATACTCGCCGCCCTGGTGCCGCAGCTCCATAGCCCGTCTCCAATGTTTCAGGGCCCCAAGCAGATCTCGCTTCTTATCCACATACGTGGCTCCCAGCAATTCCAAGGCTTCCACTGCAGCTTCCCGGCTGGTGGGGCAGCAGCTCTCATAAGTTTCACTCAGTGGTTCCTCTGGGGAGGAAGGGCAACAGCTGGCCCCCTGGGACTTGACGCATCCCAGACCGGAGGGACCTTCTGGGGCCAGCCCTGGCTGCACCTCCATCCCGGCAGGCTGCTCCTGGATAAGGTATTCCACGATGTTGGTGTGTCCGGTCACACTGGCTGCCAGCAACGGGGTCATGCCGTAGCCATCGCGTTCCATGCGAGCGTTGCACCCGAGCAGCAGCTGCAGGATCTCCAGGCTGCCGGACTCGGCGCAGTCGTGCAGGGCGGTGTTACCCTTGGCGCTGCGCCGGTTCACCTGGGCGCCCTGCTCCAGCAGGTAGCGGGCGATCTCACGGTGGCCCTTGTAACAGGAGATCATGAGGCACGTGTGCCCGTGCCGGTTCGCCACCTCCAGGTCGGCCTGGTGCTCGCCCACCAGGTAGCGCACCACTTCCAGGTGCCCATCGAAGCAGGCGGCGCGCAGCGGCGTGGAGTTGGTGCGCGTGGTGCGGTTCACCGAGGCCCCGCGGCGCAGCAGGCTCTGCACCACGTCCAGGTGGCCGGCGGCCGAGGCGGCCCACAGCGGCGGCGCGCCCTCGATGGTCTCGCCATCGAAGTGCACCGAGCCGCTCGCCTCCACGCTCGCGCCGCACCGGTCCACCAGGTACTCGACCACGTCCAGGTGGCCGTAGCGGGAGGCGATGAGCAGCGGCGTCCCCTCGCCGGCCACCTCGCCTGTCAGCTCGTCCAGCTCCTCCCGGCTCCGGCCGCTGAGCAGCTTTTGAAGCAGCTGAAGCTTGCCGTCGCGGGCGGCATTGTACACGACGGTGCGGAGGTCCATGGTCCGGACCTCTGCCAGGCCATGGGCTGGCCGCCGGGAGACGGGGAGACGGCGGGCTAGAGCCCGGAGGGTCCAGCTGCAACCTTCACTGTCTCCCCCGCCGCCATCTTAGGGGCTCCTTGGGCGGAACAAAATGGTGGCCGCTGCCGGGTGCCGTGGTCTAATGGGAGCTCATAGAGAAATGTAGTCCTCGGAGCCGGCCTGCTCTGTAGGATAGGGAAGGAACTGTGAGGTTTGAGAACTATATCTCCCAGAAGTTCGCGGGCTAGCCCCAAGCGAACTTTTCTCACGGTGCATGGTGGGAATTGTCGTTCCATTTGCAGCCGATTGTAGCGGAAACTGTCAACGGAGGACTACAATCCCCAAGATGCAATGCCATCGCGATAGTTTAGGGGTCCCAAGGAAGTTTTGTGACTGTCTTAATGCCGAAGCCAACAGGAAACGCAAACAAGCGCCAAAGACTACATTCCCCAGAAGGCATCGGGAGCAACTTGGCGCCTATTACCGAGAGGGGAAAGCAGGCTAAGCCGGCCAAGCAGTCTGATTGGGGCTGCTGACAGACAGGGGGCGCTCGGAAAGGCAGGAAAGCCAGCAGGGCGAGGATATTAGGGGTGCAGTAAGTACAGGTGGCCCTAAGGGTCAATCTCGTGCGCTCACTTCTCATGCATTTATTCTTTCATTGACTCACCCTTGAATACTGTCAACTGAAGGTGGTGGCCACCAAGGCAATACCCCCGGAAATTCTCGGGGTGCGGTAATGAGGGGAGGCTTTTCTGATACAGTTGTGATACAGCCCGTGTGTGGAACGGCTGGGCTGTGGGACGGCTTCGGTGTGAGACCGCTCAGTGCAGACAGCGCCAATGAGGGTCTCTTGCTGCTTCAGTGCTGGTGTTACAGGTCCTGCTGAGGAGACGCAGTCTGGGGGGGAAGCTGGAAGGGGACTGTTGAGGCCGAGGTGACGCTGGCTAACGTCGAGAAGAGTGCTGGCCCCCGTCCCTGATTGGTCCATTGATATGCAAATGAGGGCAGGACTACATCCCCGCTCCTTGAATGGGGGTGGACACGTGCCTGCTTTGACCTGTCCTATAGAGTAAGGCAGAAGTGGCCCTGGGATTTCTGAGTTTAGGGCATAAATGGTCACCAGCTTCCCTGTTCTCTCTCTCATTAAAATAAAATGTTTTTTATTGATTTTGTTTGTTTGTTAGTTAATCCTCACCTGAGGATATTTTTTCCTTTGCTTTTCGGAGAGAGTGGAAGGAAGGGAGCGAGCGGGGAGAGAGATAGAAACGGGATCACAGGATCGGCTGCACGCCTGCACGCCCCCTACAGCCTGAAACCGGGGCACCCCTGACTCGGAATCCTACCGGTGACCTCTTGGTGCCTGGGTCAGCACTCAGCCACTGAGGCACATTGAGCGGGCTCTCTCGTGTTGTTTTTGTTTGTTTGTTTAATTGTTTTAAGGTTCTGAAGGAATTTTTTATCCAATTGGATTACAGGAAAGTCTTTTTCTCCGTTTTGGTACTAATTATCCACTATTCTCTGGGGAAGCCAGCCCCCGTGAAGGAAGTCAAGACCGTCATGCTGGCTAGACCAGTGCAGACCCTCTTGTTCCCCTGACCACCAAGCGGAGCCCTGCCCCAATTCCTGACCCCCCCACTCCAGGACATGTAAGACAATGATTGTTTCAAGCTTGTATGTTCCGGAGTGGTTAGTGATGCAGCAGTAGTAACGGGAACCGGGCTCACTGTAGCTTGTGGCTTTAATGTCACCGTCTGTACTTCCTAACCAACTCACAGTTCCCTGAGAGTTTGTTTACTATGCCCGTTTCCTCTCTGGGGGCTGCCTGCTCCATGGGAAAATATGCCTTGGTTTAGTTTCTAAGAAACAGTCTCACTGTGTTCTTGAAGGGAGGGACTGGCTAGATCTATGCTGCTCCCCTCAGCCTGAGGTATTGTGACATGTCTTTATATAACGAATTCAGCCACGTTTATTGATATCCTAAGCACCTACTGTGCTTTGGGTTCCTTGCTCCAAGCTGGGGGTGTCTCAGTGAGCAGGCAGACAAGTGTCCTCAGGAACCCAGAATCTGACCACGGGAGGTGGGCTAAGTCAGGGTGTGTGGTCGGGGATGTGGGAGCCCAGAGGAGGAATAGGTTATACCTGGCCGGGGAGGGAAGGAAGGGGCCGGGAGGTGTTTCACGGATAGGGAATGTTTCAGGTAAACTTGTTGGAAGAAGCAGTGTTTCCTATCATTCTAGTTATCTGTTTGGCTTAATCACCTGCTGTGGACTGAACTGCGTGTGTCCTCCCCAAATTCATAGGTTGAAGCCCTAACTCCCAATGCGACCACATTTGCAGACAGAGCCTTTAGGGGTGTCACCCAGCCTTGAAAGCCATCCAGGGGCACTTCCACCCCAGGCCGTTTTCTGGAAGAAGCTCGCTAAGTCTGACCCACTTCAAGGGGAGAGAATCAGACGCCACTCTCTCAAGGGAAGGGACTTAGATGTGGGAGAGATGTCAGTAGGTTTGGAGATGTTTTAAAACCATACATGGGCCCTAGCTGGTGTTTCTCAGTGGTTAGAGCATCAGCATGTGCACCAAAGGGTTGTGGGGTCAATTCCTGGTCAAGGGCACGTACCTGGATTGCAGGTTTGATCCCTGGACCACTCAGGGTGCATGTGAGAGGCAGCCAGTCGATGTGTCTCTCTCATATCAATGTTTCTCTCTCTCTCCTCCCTTTCTCTCTCTCTATCCTTCCATGAGGATTGGCAAAAAATAAAAACCCACAACAGACAAACAAAAAAAGACCACACACAGAGCAAAGACCCAGGGATACACCCCAACATAGACATGATGCATTCAGTACCTCATTGAATCACTCACTCCATGCCTACAAGACAGCCTTTTAGGGGAATTCTTCGACAGCAATGAGGGGACAGTCCCTTCTCTTTAAAAGTGCCTAAATTCAATTATGCAATAGGTTCTTTTTATAACATACTGGATAAAGCATTCAGAGCTAAACACATCTATCAAAGGGACATTTCATCAAGTCCTCTTGATTTCTTCTACAAGATAAGACATTGCTGAATAAAAAACAGACATTGTCCACACTACTTTCTTAGCCGTCTATGGTGAAGTGTCCTTTTTTTTTTATAGCAGAAGTCTGACTTGTGAAGATACGCACACACACATGAAGTTTGGGGAAAGAGAGAGGAGTCTACCATGGGAAAATTATGTGGGGGCATTTTATTCATTTATTTCTAATTTATTTTTTATGTTTTTATTGATATCAGAGAGGAAGGGAGAGGGAGAGAGAGAGATAGGAACATGTTGATGAGAGAGAATCATTGATCGCTGCCTCCTGCACACCCACACTGGGGATCAAGCCCGCAACCTGGGCATGTGCCCTGACTGGGAATTGAACCATGACCTCCTGGTTCATAGGTCGACACTCAACCACTGAGCCACACCGGCCGGGCTGTGGGGGCATTTTAGTCACCACTTCTCAAGCAGAGATGACTGATACTGGTGACGTTCAATGATATGTGTTTTTTTTTTCTCATTGAGGGCCTTAAAGGTGACCTTAACTCATTTCTAATAGAAATGTTGTTGAGTAGCAGGAGTGCATAGTTCCCTGTGACAACAAGCGAGAGAGAAGCTTTTCTTTGAGTATGTAATTTTAAAAATTGAAATAAGATTATTCCTGTTAACATGTGCAACTCAGCACATTTAGGACATTCACAATGTTGTACAACCATCACCTCTATCTAGTTCCAAAATTCAGGGGTGGGTAAAGTAGATTTATAGTTGTGATTATGCAAAACAGTTTATTTTTGTATTATTATTTATTGTATTATTTTCCATATGAACTGTAAACTGACTTTTGCCCACTGCTGTATTTTTGTTACCCCAAAAAGAAACCTCTTCCCCATGAGCAGTCACCCCCCAATCTATATATTTATTATATATTATATATGTATATAAATGTGATATATAAGTATATATGATACATGTTTATATTATACGAGAGGCCCGGTACACGACATTCGTGCATGGGTAGGGTCCCTAGACCTGGCCAGCGATCAGGGCCAATCAGATTCCCAGGTTCCCTGCCTCCCCACCTCCCCACCTCTCTGCCTCCTCCTTCCCTCATTCCCTCAGCGCCCTGCCTCTGCTGCTGGTCACCAGCCATGTTCCATGCTGCCCCCTGGTGGTCAGCGCACATCATAGGGAGCGATCTAACTCCCAGTCTCCCAGTCGAACTCCTGAGGGGACACTTTGCATATTAGCCTTTTATATATATATACTAGAGGCCCGTTGCATGAAGAGATTCGTGCAATAGGCCTTCCTTCCCCTGGCTGCCGGCACCGGTTTTCCTCCGGCACCCGGGACCCAGGCCTTCACTCTGACCGCAGCAGAGAAGCCAAGCCTCTTCAGTCTTCAGTCGTCTTCAGTCTTCGCTCCATGCCTGCATATGCAAATTAACCACCATCTTTGTTGGGTTGATTTGCATATTCATACTGATTGGTGGGTGGGCATAGCAGAGTGACACCAATTTGCATGTTTCTCTTTTATTAGTGTAGATATAGAGACTAGAGGCCTGGTGCACAAATTTGTGCATGAGTGGTATCCGGCTGGCCCACCCCTATGGGGGCCGATCGGGCTGGGCCAGCGGAGGGGAGGGGATGTGGGGGAGGACTGATTGGAGCCGGCTGGTGGGGAGGGGCCGTGGGCAGTTGGCCAGCTGGCCCCTCCCCCTGGTCGAACTCCGGTTGAACTCCAGGTCAAGGGGACAATTTGCATATTAGCCTTTTATTACATAGGATAATGATATATCTATAATCTATATATATAAAAGCCAAGCAACCGGAACAATGGACTGACCAGGATGACTGGTTGCTATGACGTTTACTGTGGCAGCCAACTGGCCCAATTGGCTCCCCCCAACCCTGATCAGGGGCAGGGCCAGCAGCCAACCTCCCGTGTCCCCTCCTCCCTGCTGGTCCTGGCCAGCCGGACCCCACCCGTGCACGAATTCGTGCACCGGGCCTCTAGTATAATTTATAACAGAATATAATATATTATAAATATTACCTATATGTATAAGATACATAAAATAAAATGTAATGCATATATATATACATACACAATGTAGTATATATAATATTTTCTGAATAATTTGGGGAAGTAATTTGGAGTCTTTACAACCTTTACTC